TATTTGGCATCTGCCCCATGCATACATATTCAGGGGTCAGCCAGGGACTTGGGGAGAGGTTATAGCCAATGTTTGTGGTACCACCTCTGTGGCTCTCTTTTTTCACAGATTTCTCCATGCTTTGCAGCCTCTGTAGTTATCCTGAGCTGTGTTTGTCCTTTGGTTCTTTACACCAGTAGGAGTTTGGAGATCTGTGTGGACCTTAGGCCTTTTGTGTGATGTCAGCTACAACCTGCCCTCAGGAACGAAGTCACTCAAAAACCCACACATCTTCCAAGCATCAGTCCTCTTTCAGGAAATACCTGCTGTTCAGGTTTTAGTAAACTAACTCGTTATGTAGCCATTAAAGAAAAATGCCTTGTCCAGAACATATTATTGTTACTTGCAGAAGAGTTGGCTCAGCAGAACTGGCTTAGCTGTTACTAGAAACAGAAGCTGCCCTTCCTTCCTTCCTTCTGTTCAGATCCTCTGTCCATTTTTTTAATTGGATTATTTGCTTTTCGGGTGTCGAGGTATGTGAATTTTTTACATATTTTGGATGTTAATCCCTTATCGGATCTGTCATTTATGGATATACTCTCCCATACTTTAAGATGCCTTTTTGTCCTACTGATGGTTTCAGTTACAGATTTAAGTATCCTTCTGTTCTCATCTATTCCATTTCTTCCTTTGCTGTACAGAAGCTGCTTAGTCTTATGTAGTCCCATTTGCTCATTTTGCTTTTGTTTCCCTTGCCCGAGGAGATGCATTCAGAAAAAGTTGCTCATGTTTATATAGAAGAGATTTTTGCCTATGGTTTCTTCTAAGAGTTTATGGTTTCATGACTTACATTCAGGTCTTTGATCCATTTCGAGTTTACTTTTGTGTATGGGGTTAGACAATAATCCAGTTTCATTCTCTTGCATGGAGCTGCTCAGTTTTCCCAACACCAGTTGTTGACAAGGCCGTCATATCCCCATTGTATGTCCATGGCTCCTTTATCATATATTAATTGGCTGTGTATGTGTGGGCTTATATCTGGGCTCTCTATTCTGTTCCATTGATCTGTGCGTATGTTCTTGTGTGCTTTTTCTTTTTTAACTTTATAGTGCTTTCGCCATGAAAACTTTCATTTTAAACTTTGATGTAGTTGACTTTATCAATATTTTATTGCCTTTTGATTTTGAGTCATGGTTAGAATACCTTTCCCTATGCTCAGACCTTAGAGGAGTTCACCCATGTTTTCTTGTAATACTTTATATGAATGGTTTCATTTACTGATTTAGATATCTTTCTTTTCTCATCTATTCCATTTCTCTGTTGGCATGCAAGTACAATACTGTTTCAATAATAGAGACTTGGAAGTATGTTTTCATGGCTAATAGAACCACTCCATAGCTCATAGTATTTTTGTGTTTTTCCTACCTAATCTTGCATGTTACTTTCCATTTAATTTTTAGAATCAACTAGTTTGGCTCCAGAAAAAAAAGCTAGTCACTACTTCTACTGTGTGTATAGGAGGACTGAGCACCCACCACACTTTGTTTAAGAAAACTTTGAAATGAAAGCTAAGGCTTTCCCTTGGAGATTCTGTCCTGGACATGTGCACCCGAGGATTTGAGAAACAGACTCAATAACGAGCCACCTTTTATGGCTGGATGAGCACAAGCAGAAACACGCCAGGGTGGCTGCTCGGAGCAGCGATTCTCAACTCACTGTTTGGAATTCCCACCTCAGAACTGTGATTTCTGCCCTCAGAAAGGGGAGTCCCCGAGGGCCCTAGAGTCCGTTTCAGAACTGGTGATATTGGAACAAACCTGTGCCTCGTGTTGTCACACGGAGTTCTCACTTCACGATGTTCGGGCTCTTTTCTGAGCTGCCTCTTTCCATGAGCCAAGGAGAATGACTTTCAGTGAAGTGGTCCTGAGGCTGCTTTTCGTGACCCAGACCGGGGCTGGGGTCCTGGGGAACACCTTCCTCCTCTCAGCCTATGCGTCTGCATCAGGCGCCAGCCGCGCCCTGAGGCCCGTGCACGTCATTCTCACCAACATGGCTGTGGCCAACTTCCTGGTGCTTTCCTTCAAGGGGATCCCCCAGGTGATATTTATGTGGGGGGTGACAGACATCCTGGGCAACACTGGATGCAAACTTGCCTATTATATCCATCGAATGGCCCGAGGCCTCTCGCTCTGCACCACCTGCCTCCTGAGCAGTTTCCAGGCAGTCACCATTAGCCCCCGGACTGGTGGGTGGGTGGGGCTCAGAGAGAGAGTCTGGAAGAACGTCGGCTCTTCGTGCTTTCTATGCTGGCTCTGCAACATGGGGATAAATGTCTTTGTCCCGGTAAATTTAAAAGCTCCTCAGCATAGTCACAATTCTACCGAGACACGGGACTATGGACTGTGCTCTTCTGACGTTCCTACTACATCTAGTGCTACAATAATCACAGTTCTGATGACTTTTCCAGATGTTGTGTTCATGGGACTCATGACTGTGGCCACTGTTTTCATGGTACTTGTCCTACACAGACACCACCAGAGAATGAGACATATTCACACGCTCAGAAGTTCCCACAGATTCTCTCCTGAGGCAAAAGCCACTCAAACTGTCCTCCTCCTGGCCATCTCCTTCATTTTTTTTTACTTCACTAACTCTATCCTTACAATTTATAATGTTTTCTTCCACTCTCACCTCTGGCTGATGCACCTTACCACCTTTCTGGCAGCGTGTTATCCCACCCTCAGCCCCCTGATACTGTTGCTTCGAGATCCCCAAGCACCAGGATTCTGCTCTTAAGTGGTGGGAAAAAAAACTCCAAATTACTGACAGCCCCTTTCCCACAGTTTCTCTTTGCTTCAAAGAATCTGGCTGTTCACTTTTCTGGGCAAGAATATATGGATGTCCAGAATATGACACACCCATCCAAGGTCCTGAGATGAAAAGGTTTCTGTGACATCAACGTCATCCTGTGGGTCTTTCCACTTTATTTAGAAGGCAGACAATGAAATACAAACATTCCTGCATACATGTTAGCTAATCTTGATGCTTTGTGACATTTTTTTCTTTGACATAATTGATCGAAGCATAGCAGTGAAGTTGGACAGATAATTTTGGGACATATCAGAATTTTTAATGGTTTGTTAGGGTAATTATTAAACTGGCAGTAATGGCTTTGTGTGCCAACAATAATTATAACCTGTGGGAATCAGTTTAATCAGTCAAAGATTTAGGATATTTACCTATAGTATTAATTGATTACATCCTGTTAGATTATTGTGCAAAAGTAAATGAGGTGATGGGGCAGAGCTTCCAAAATGGCAGGGTAAGAGCCTATGAACATCAACTCCTCCATCATAGCAATATGAATACTGGCCAACTTATTATAGCTAACTTTTTTTTCACAATTCCAGAGATTAACCAAATGCTTACAACAATCTGAATAGTATTTAGTTAAGAAAAAAATTTGAACTTCAGTAAAAACAGTTGGTTTTGTGAAGTTCTAACTTTACCTCCCATCTCCCCTTCCCCAGCTCTGCTCCAGCCTTGGAAAATAAACAGCCTCACAACTAGAGTAGCGAAAACCATTTGTTCAAAACAATCTCTTTCAGTTGTTTAACACTTCCATAGATGGCTTAAGGCGGCGATGTGAGTTGAGGGAAAGAAGAGTGTGGCCATAATTTTTACAGGAATATCCGAGGAATGAGATGCTCACAGGAGCACTCTGATAAAACACTCTGACAAGGTCTGAGGTTCTGGACGGCCACCCACACACGCAGGATATGTCTCAAGGGCATCAATAAATCGCACCTGGCCGACCTTGAAACCTTGCAGGAAAGAAGCTGAGGCCAACTTGTAATCCTCCAGAGCCCTGAAGTAGGGCCTCGTCACCGCGAAGTAGCCTTGGCAAAGGGTGGCAGACGCGCTGGCTGAAGGCAGCTGAGGAAATCTCTGCTCGCTCATTGGCCAACCAGCAGAGGCGTCGGTGACTCATACTCCAGGGAAAGCCCTTTACAGAACTAGTCCAGGAATGTCACTCACCAGCTGCAGCAGTGGCGACAGCAGCGCGCCCCGAGGTGGGAGCAGCCCCGTGTGACTGAAGGTCCCGCTCCAGGAGAAACCTGGGACACACCAGGGGTCAGAAACGTATGACCTGTGTGCCCAGGAAAATGGTCCACAGAAACCACAGAAATGGTCTCTGAGTGGCCTCAGATGTGAGACTTACTACATGAAGATATTAAGTCACCTTTTGTACGGATGCTCAAGGAATTAAAAAGAAACCATCTGTAAAGTACTAAAGGGTAGAACGATAACGATGTTTCACCAAATAGACGATATCAACAGAGACAGATATAAAAAATGTTTGCTAAAGGGGCTGTGATATATAATCATTACAACAGTATAATCATAAGAATTATATATTCGGTCATATGAATGAACGAATATGTATTTCCCAGGTATATTTCATGTTCATTCAGTTTCTGAAAATACTGCAGTCTTAAAGGTAAAATGGGTGTTCTGTCAGGTTAATGAAAGACTTTTGGATGCCCACCCAAGGGTGGGGCTGGAGGTTGGATCAGCCAACAGCCAATAGTTTAGTTGTCATGACGATGCAGTGAAGCCCTCACCACCCCCTGAGAAGAGCTTTTTGCTCAGTCTCTCTGCTCTGCTTGGCCTAAGATGCTAGGCTGGATCCTGCTTCTTGGTAGGGGAACCAGACCACCTGCCTCCACATGCCACCAAGCCAGGCCCCAAGCTCTGCAAGGATAGAAGCTCCTTTATTTGGGACCTTGGCCTGTGTCTCTCTTCATTTGCCTGTTAACTTGTATCCTTTATTAAACTGGTAAACGTGTTTTCCTGAGTTATGTGAGCTGCTCTAGCAAATTCATAGAACCTAAGGGGAGGTCGTGGGAACTTCCAACCTGAAGCCCGTAGGTCGGAAGCACAGGTACCTGCCTGGGGCTTGCGACTGGTGTTCAGAGTGGGGGGTGCAGAGCAATCTTGAGGGACAAAGCCCTTAACATGGGGATCTGGTGCTGTCTTTGGACAAATTGCATCAGAACTGAGTTGAGTTCTCCAACACACTGCCTGCGTTCAAGTATTGCTTGGTGTCAGTTTGTGTGGGAAGACCCCCTCCCACATATTCACACACACTGGAATTGGATCCTGGTACCTGAATGAGGCTATATTACTATTTCTGCTATGTATAATATTGTTACTGGTATACATATATGTAGGAAAAAAATACACCATTGCATTTGGTGTCAGAGATGTTACAGGGGCTCAACAGATCGGAGCTGGGAGAAGACAGAATATGCAAACAGGAGGACAGGTCAATGAACATTATGTATGGTGAGAAACAGGGAACAGTGGAGCAGAAAAAAGCAAAAATGGGAGAGTGCGTGCAGAGGCTCCGAGCTCTATGGCATACGTACCCTCAAGCACACAGACACACACATAACAGAAGCCCTGGAAGGAGAGGAAAGGGTATACAGGGCAGCAAGAATATTTGAAGAAACAATGACTAGAAACATCGGAATTTCATGAAAACCATTACTGTACACCTCCAGGAAGCTTAACGAACTCCAAAGAGCACCAACTCGTTACGTTCTCCACAGGCTTTAATGCCAAGGAACAGAACAGAAGCCCTGGTTCTCCCCAGAGATGAGCACAGAGCAGATTCATGTCAGGCGAGACCAGGGAGATGGACGCCAGGGATCTGAAATAGGACGGACAGAACTTCTATTATTTTCCAATGTCCTTCCACACAGCAAACAACCTGAGAATCAGCTGCATTTTATTAGAAAATTCAGTCACTGAACTGATAGTCCACTTATTATAAAAACTTTCCAAGCTTTTATTATGAACATTCTCATACATATATAAAAACTCAATGATCAGTACAGCAGACACCCTTCCATACATCCCATAGACCCAATAAATGTTAAATGTTGTCATATTTGCTCTGTGTATTAACTTTCTACCCATCATCTGTCTGTCCATCTCCCCCAGTCCTCTATCCAATTCATCTGACTGAACTATTTCAAAGTTAATTGCAGACATCATGAACCTTCACCTCCAAATGCCACAATTTGAACCCTGTATAATAAAAAATATTCCCCTAAAAAAATACCTTCATGACTCCAGTCCTTTGAGATCGTGGTACTTGGAGAAGAATGAGGCCAGATACTGAAGAACACCAGCAAGATGAAAAAGAGAAACCGGACTTCAGTCAAGGTTTCAAGCAAGACAGCCGCAAAGTTCCTGCGTCAGGAAACCCACAGAGTCGAAGGCACCATGTAAGGCAGGAACAGACTCTCCACTGTAGTTAAAGATCAAACGACCAAGTGCAGAGTGGGCCCCACTGCATGAGCTGCCGCATGGCCACCGGCCTGCTGCACAACCACAGTCCCGTAGGCTGGTCAAATTGAAGAGCAAGGTCGTCTAAACGTAAAGGCTGAACAGTTGAGCTCATCCCACGAAACCCAGAAGGTAAAAGAGGGAGGAACAGTGATAGGTCTTCGGACCGTCCTCTTTTCACAGAAGTTTCTTGGCTTCTTCAGCCGGCACTTGGGTGTGGCTGACAGAATCTCCTTCGGAATGTTCACATTACTGGGCGCTGTGAGCTCCTCCTAAAGTACTACGTGCTAACCTGGCCCCTGAGGACCCTCAGACTTGGGAAAGAAGCGAAAGGCAGTGGAGGGTAGAGAGGAGAAGAGGAACAAAGGCAATAGTTTCCTATAACTAGAAGCCATTCTACCCAAATGCCGGCTGTGTGAAGGTGGGAGTATGTACAATTATTAAAACATTTGTATTGTAAAATACGCAGAAATGTACCTTAAACACAGTACACACACACATTAGTTTAACATAATATGGTGAACAATGTAACACCACTCAGATCAAGCCATAACACCCCAGGACCCCCATTTATCCCTTCCCAGTGAACTCTCCTCCTCTCCCCTTCTATGGTCAAGATTCCTACACAGAGAGGGCCCTGGAACACTTTCCCCAGGCCAATTTCCCCTCTCTAGCCTTCCCTTTGCCAGAGGCATCCGTGGACTCTGCCCTGGCAGATCCCCCCGTCCTTGCCCAGGGAATTTGTTCTTTGACAGGGACCTCAAAACTCCTCCAAACAGCCAAGACTTCCCTGCACCCTCAAAAGGGCAATGAAGCCAAATGAATACATCCCTGTTCACTTAGGTCTGGCCCAAGGGTGACGTCCTGTAAGGTCCCAAATGCAAGAGCTTCTGTCCCTGTGGAGCCGGAATGCACCACCCTCATGAAATGTGGACGTGTCACCCACCTGGAGGCTCTCTCTAGTTTTTAATGTATTTTTTATGGAGGCTCAATCACATAGGCATGATTTGATAAAGGGAATTTACACACATCTTTGGTAAACATCATCCTTAAAGGAGAAACTTTGAAATCACGAAGAGGACAAGAACACTGCATCATCAGTTCCTTTCAAAATTGGATGGAAGGGTCACCCAGGGCAATAGGTAGAAAAATTCAGGTTTAGAAATAGGAAAGGATGCGGAAAACTCACTAAGGATACTATGACTGTTCACACAAATATTTAGAATAACTGTACTGTGTTCTTTCAGGTGACAGCCACGTGCAGCCACAAGAGGGGCCCTCAGGAGAGGTGCAGGGGGGGAAATGGGTCGCAAGTCCTGAGACCCAGTCACTGCATGCTGGTAGGAGGTCACACGGCAGAGAGCCCCAAGGGATCAGCCTCAGCCAGGCAGGTGGGGTGAGAGCAAGGACCCGTGAGCAAGGCCTTACTGTGGGGTCCG